TGCAGGTGTGATCACACCTACTGCACTACCAGTTGTATGAAATTACAGCACATACAGTCATGCACAGGTCATGGCAGTGAGAGACTACGTGAATGGTTTATTTTCTGTACTATAATTTTGAATCACAATTTTAGGGTTATTCCTTCTACCAATAAAAAAAAGCTCACTGTAAAACAGTAAGGATATCCTGTTAAGGCTGGCAGCGGCCTCAGACATCTTGTGCTCAGCATGTCTCCTGATAGCATTAAAAGGCCAGGTCCCTTGATTTTTATTCACACTACCTCTGTTTCTGTAAGTGCACCTTGCAGTGTTCCCACAATGACAACTTTGCCCAGCGATGAATTTCTCAGAAGGTATCCTCAACGTTAAGCAGTGCCTGACTGTACTTAGATACAAAGAGTTGCTTCTACTCCTCTGTCTCTTTCTCTATCTCTCTCTGATTTGTCTCTCTGTCTCCGACACACACACACACACACACACACACACACACACACACACACACACACACACACACACACACACACACACACACCAGATCCATGTGATTACAAATCCCGCCAGGAATAAAGATTCCCAGAGATTGGCCAAGAGTGTGAACTTCCTCCTTTGGACTCAGGATGGGAAACACAATGAAATTTATAGCAGCACTTCTAATTGTATTTTCTCTCAACTCGCCGAGTAAATTTCTTTGCCAGAAAATTGGACATCATCACTCTACTCAAAGCCTGGGGTTTATAAAGACTAGGAAGTCCTCAGCATTGAGTAGTAGCCAGAGAGCCATGAGGTGTCAAGCTGGCCAGCCTCCTACATAATGCAATTTCCATGTGCATTTATTTAAAAGGTGAGCCTGGAACATTCTGTTCAGCCAAATCCAAGAAAGTGCACAAAATCTAATGAGCACTCATCAAAAAGACCTGTGATCCAGCTTCAAGAGGCTCTACGGGCTGAATTTTGGATTTTTAAGAGCACTGAAATGAAATGACATGGGTTAATTAAAACATATTGAGTTAAAAATACATATATTTGAATATATATTTACATATATATCTATGTATCTGAGTAAAAGGAAACTCATGATTTCACACTGAGGCTAAATTATTTCAAGGGGAGTGAGTGAGAAGAGAAAGCTTTTTATAAAACCTTGATAGCTAATATAAATGACAGAAGTGATAGAAAACACCAACGGATTCTACCCCACTGGATTGGAAATTCATGGGGAGGCCATATTCACGCATGCGTCACTCGCCACTCATGAACTACAAGGGCAAGGAGATCAGCTGGGGCATGGGCTGTAACCCCAGTGCTGTACTCTGGAGGCTAAGGCAGAAGGAGGCCAAGTTCAGCCTAGTCTGAGTAACTTAGTGAGAACCTATCTCAGAATACAAAAAAAAAAACACAAACCCAAAACAACTAATAATACAAAGGGCTGCTTGATGCAAATTCTCTGGGCTTGTTATCCACAAGCAAAGAGAGGGACAGAGAGAGGGGAGGGGAAGGAGGAGGGGGGAGAGAAGGGGCGGGGAGAGGGAGAGAGAAGCCTAAGTCGCTGACAGTGAGGTGACAATGGTGTCACCTCAACCAGGTAATCAAACGGAACATCTTCCCTGGGGTGTCTTTTGGTACAAAGCAGGAAGTGTACTCACTGATGTCATATCACTGCCACAAACATCCAGTGTGCACCTAGTCACATGGGTACAGGTGGACAAATTCACACCGGGAGAAGGATTGTAAAGGGACCGCGAAGGTGGGTGACGTCCAAATGTAGTGTGTGATGGTCCCTGATTAGATCCCGTATCAAATAACAACAAAATGTCCATAAAGGACATTGACTGGGTCGACTAAGTGGCCAGTGGAATAAACAGAGAATTCTGCATATGGCCTGCATCTTAGGTAGCAGTACTGGATCTAAGCGATGGTACTGGGGGAGATGGATCTAAGTGATGGTTCTGGGGGAGAATGCCCTGTCCTGAGAAAACATTACGTGGAAGGGAAGAGACATGGTGTCTACGACAAATTCCTAAACAGATCAGCAAAAATAGTGAACGCATGTGAGTGCCTGTGTGGAGAGACAGAAAAGGAGGCAAATGTGAACAACTGATGAATAGTAAAATGTACGCAGTACTAGATCTACCATTTTTCTAAGGTTTGACAATTTTCAAAATGAAAGGGAGGAAAGAGAGAGAAAGAAGAAGAAGAAGAAGAAGAGGAGGAGGAAGAAGAGAGGAAGGGAGGGGAGGGAAGGGAAGGACCTGCTGTGGGCAAGGCCCTCCTTGGGGACAGGAGTGGTATAGCAGAGGTGTCTTCTATCTGCCCACTACCTTTCCCTTTCTTTGGCCTACAACCTTCTCCTTCCTTCCCTACCATGTGGGCAATACCTGTGCCGTGGAGTAGACACACTGTTCTCAATCCTGGAGATACAAGCTGCTGCCTGCTGTGATTGGACAGAGCTAATCTGAGCTGAGCCAATCAGGATCCTTCCTTGGGACTCTCTAAGTGAAACTTCCAGGGAAGTTCCTTCTAGTCTGAAATCAGTAGCTGTAGTCTGTGACTCCTGAACGTCTCTGGGTCACTCACCACATGACAATGGAGTCTGAACCTAGAGGTGTGCACAGCTGAAGAGCCTAGAGGGAAGAGGGCCTGGTGGTATCAAGTTCTAGAGTCTAAGGCCCGAGGTATCTGGAACCATCAAGGGTCTGGAGACTCTGACTTCAGTCCTGTGGTTTATTCACGTGATTAGAAGGCAAGATGGGATGGGATGGAGAATCACAAGGAACAGAGAGGGGAGAGAGAGAGAGAGAGAGAGAGAGAGAGAGAGAGAGAGAGAGAGAGAGAGAGAG